TGAGGCCTGTCCTAATGCCTGGTAACACATGGATGAGGCCTGTCCTAATGCCTGGTAACACATGGATGAGGCCTGTCCTAATGCCTAGTAACACATGGATGAGGCCTGTCCTAATGCCTGGTAACACATGGGTGAGGCCTGTCCTAATGCCTAGTAACACATGGATGAGGCCTGTCCTAATGCCTGGTAACACATGGATAAGGCCTGTCCTAATGCCTGGTAACACATGGATGAGGCCTGACCTAATGCTTGGTAACAAATGGATGAGGCCTGACCTAAAGCCTAGTAACTCACGAATGAGGCCTGTCCTAATGCCTGGCAACACATAGATGAGGCCTGACCTAAAGCCTAGTAACTCACGAATGAGGCCTGTCCTAATGCCTGGTAACTCACGAATGAGGCCTGTCCTAATGCCTGGTAACTCATAAATGAGGCCTGTCCTAATGCCTGGTAACTCACGAATGAGGCCTGTCCTAATGCCCGGTAACTCACAAATGAGGCCTGTCCTAATGCCTGGTAACACATGGATGAGGCCTGTCCTAATCTCAGTAGGAAGTTCTGGTTTTCAAGTATATGGCTCAGCTTTTAATTAGATTGTCTGTGATTGGGGGTGGGGGGGGGGGGGGGGGGAGATAAAGGTAATGCTAACTTAAGGCAGACACTAGCTTCATATATTCTAGGCATGGGATAAGAGGTAGGGTAATAAATTGTTTCTTCCCTTTCTTACCAACTTTCCTTATGAGACCATGTGTCATAAAACAAAATTATCTGGAATCATCTGATTTGCGTATTTATTCAATAAAGAACATCGCAAACCAACCCTAGCATTCACTGGCTGCTGTGTGGGTTTTTTTTTAAGGTCATTTTACATTGGCAGTCTCCCTGGTGAAGTGGTCAAGGCACCTGCCTCTGCCTCTAAAAGTCACAGGTTCATTTCACTATCATGTCATTCAGTTTAGGACTGCGGCTTTGAAAATGAGACCTGGAGATAAGCAGCTGAGTTATGGAGGTCATGCTTTGTGTGATGCTTCCGGCAGGTGGCTCGTTCTGCAGAGAGAGAGACTGAGCCATGAGGGATAAAACCTGGTGCAATAAAGCTGATCCTCCAGACCAGTGGTTCTCAACTTTCCTAACGCTGCAACCCTTTAAATACAGTTCCTCATGTTGTGGTGACCCCCAACCATAAAATTATTTCAGTGAATATGTATTTTTGGATTATCTCAGGCGACACCTGTGAAAGCGTGGTTCGATACCCAATGGGGTCGCGACCCACAGGTTAAGAATTGCTACTCAAGACTTTATTTTACATTCAGTGGTCAGCCCCAGATTTCTGAATGGTACAATGCTCATACCGTTGTGAAAATCAATGCAAAGCATCCTGCCAACAAATCGGCTGCAGCCAACTCCAAATTCCGGTATGTCAGGATTGTGAAACTAAAGGGAGGCTATAAAATATTTTAAACAATAACATTCTTCCACAGCCTGGAAGCTGCTGTAGTCTAGCGGCTTACTGCTCGCCTGCGGACCGGATGGTCATGGGTTTGGGTCATGAAGGGGAAGGGGGGGGGGAAGACTTTTTTAAAAAATGACTTTGGCCAATACGCCTGAAGGCGTGAAAAGGGGTTCTTTACTTTACCTATTCTTCCAGAGTTCCAGATCAGATCAACTTTCTGATAAATTTGTTCCTTTCTATTTTATCCATTTATCTAACAACAAGTATCATTACTCATGCAGCTTCCACAACTGACACTATAAAACGGTGATAGTAAAAATGGACATGGAAACCCAGTTTCCTTTCTCCAGTACACAAACAAAGTACCAACACCCATTCCTAACAAAGTGTAAACAGTAAAGCAAAATGCATAAACATCTCAGGCATGCTTTGAAAAAAAGGAAAAATTCCAACCAAGCACAATCAGCCAGAATAGGGAAGAATAACGGAAAACAGTAATGCAAAAATATCATTCGGATTCAAATTTAAGAACAGAAGCTGCCACTCACATTCCTCCTTTAAATGAACTGAAAATGTATAATACTCAATTTCATTTCACATACAAAAGTAAAAATACGACTGGTATATTTTATGTCAGGATAGTTAGTTCTTGAACTGGTATATTTTATGTCAGGATAGTTAGTTCACGAACTGGTATATTTTATTATGTCAGGATAGTTGTTTCATGAACTGGTATATTTTATGTCCGGATAGTTGTTTCATGAATTGGTATATTTTATGTCAGGATAGTTAGTTTATGAACTGGTATATTTTATGTCAGGATAGTTAGTTCATGAACTGGTATATTTTATGTCAGGATAGTTAGTTCATGTACTGTTATCAGGTGCTCTGAACATGTCACTTCACCATACATCTTTGTGACTATTCATATATCTGAGAAGTTAATGTGGTAGTTATTTACTTGAATCTACAGTAACTAAACTTAAGTGCAGACAATGTACAGTAACTAAACATAAGGATAGGGAATATACAGAAACTTAACATATAAAAAGACCACTTACAGTAATTGAAAGGAAGGACAGACAACATACATACTCTAAATGTAAGAACAGAAAGATAATTAATACAATAGAACTTGTAATTATCCTCAGGCCACTTACTAGACCTCTGAAGGCCAAATCTGATCTGTGGACCGCCAAATGAATACCGTAGACCGCCAATTGAATAGCGCAGTCCTAAAAGGTAATTTACATAGTTAAGCTCCCCATGTAGGTTCCGTGTTAGGAAATCTTTATGCTCTCAATAAAAGCAAATAAGAGAATAAAATAGAAGCATATCCACATAAGAGGAATGTATTTTCAATATCTAGGCAGCATGACAGGGGTTAAAAAAAAAATGCAGTAAAAAACAAGAACAATCACTAGCATGGTCAACCTCTTGTATACTGTGTTCCCGTGGGGAGGGGGGCAACAAAATCAAACAGTCCACTGCCCCCCTTAACAATTTATTAGAGTCGACTAATTAGGGTTGTTTCTAAGCAAAGGCGGAGTGCATCTGCTTGAGAGGTGAGCAACAAACAATCTGTATATAAATCACTAGATGTGTAAAATGGATGTGCATGCAAAACTCAAGTTCTCAAATGAGACAAGTCCAGAAGTGGATGAACAACCAGAAATTTCTGCCAGAGTTTAAAGCTGCTGAATGCAAAATAGAGGAAGATAGAAGGTCATTAATAAAGACTTTGCTGAAATCAATTGTATCGGTAGATACCTCTGACTAGCTGTAAACCACAACACACCAACCACCTTTAAGGATGAACGCAGAAGTATACCTTGTAAAATCCAAGATAGTAATAGGTGTCTGCTTCAGTTTTTTCCACTTGTTTATTGTTGAAGCTTGCTGTATTATTTTCACTGCCTTAACATCCTAATCCTTCAGTTTTCTTAACCCCACAAACCATTTCTTGTTGTGAATGTGCTCCAGCTGATGGCATTTAAGGCCTCTTCACAGTGTTATTTCTTGTTGTGAATGTGCTCCAGCTGATGACATTTAAGGCCTCTTCACAGTGTTATTTCTTGTTGTGAATGTGCTCCAGCTGATGACATTTAAGGCCTCTTCACAGTGTTATTTCTTGTTGTGAATGTGCTCCAGCTGATGACATTTAAGGTCTCTTCACAGTGTTATTTCTTGTTGTGAATGTGCTCCAGCTGATGACATTTAAGGCCTCTTCACAGTGTTATTTCTTGTTGTGAATGTGCTCCAGCTGATGACATTTAAGGCCTCTTCACAGTGTTATTTCTTGTTGTGAATGTGCTCCAGCTGATGACATTTAAGGCCTCTTCACAGTGTTATTTCTTGTTGTGAATGTGCTCCAGCTGATGACATTTAAGGCCTCTTCACAGTGTTATTTCTTGTTGTGAAATGTGCTCCAGCTGATGACATTTAAGGCCTCTTCACAGTGTTATTTCTTGTTGTGAATGTGCTCCAGCTGATGACATTTAAGGCCTCTTCACAGTGTTATTTCTTGTTGTGAATGTGCTCCAGCTGATGACATTTAAGGCCTCTTCACAGTGTTATTTCTTGCCAGACGTATCTTAATTACCAACGATATTGTCTTCTTCTTCTATGCTCACCCTTCAAAGGGAGTTGGTCTGTTGTAGTGCGGTTTACAGCTAGGCTGTGACATCTGCTTTCAGACCCAAAATCATTTGATTTCAGCAAATTCCTAATGAGTTGCCTTTTACGACATGCCAGTTATGGGGCAGTGAGTCTATCTCTTCACTTCCCCCCCCCCCCCCCCCCACCCAGAATGGGACCTTCAAACCCACAATGGGAATTTATACTGTACTGTACTGTGTCGACTTTGCTCACTAACAAGGATACTAGCAGCTACAAGAAGTAATAAAAAGCTATGCCTGGTGTGTACACAAGAAAACAGATAACCACTTAAGAAACACTGCAGAGGGCATGTAAAATACACTGGACTACACATTTACAATACACATATAAGCCAGCAAACCCAGTTGTCCCGCTCATGATCTTGTTCTATGCTAAAACATGTATCAGCAAACCCAGTTGTCCTGCTCATGATCTTGTTCTATGCTAAAACATGGTATCAGCAAACCCAGTTGTCCTGCTCATGATCTTGTTCTATGCTAAAACATGGTATCAGCAAACCCAGTTGTCCTGCTCATGATCTTGTTCTATGCTAAAACATGATATCAGCTGATCACACCAGCTGCTATCCTCACTATCTCTTTACAGTGCATCTGTAGGAGAGGCAAGGAACTAACAGTCTGCATTTAAAAAAAAAAGCCAGATCTGTAAAAGCCATGTGCAGGCAAAACTCAAGTTCCTAGAATAAGACTTTAGTCCACACGTGGATGAACAAGAGAACTTCCCCCAAGAGTTTACACCAAAGAATGCAAAGAAGGAGATTGTCTTCTTCATCAACTAAAACAATTAGATATTTGTTTTATAACTGAAAAGTGTCAATTCGTTAAATAATAAAGACCATCTGAGGTTGAAAGAGTCTGAGGTCACTTACGTTTTGACAGGGAAGGTCTCCTTGCTGAGTTTATAGTCTTGCAGAGATCTGTCGAGGATGTCCAAGTCTGCCAGAGTGGAGTTTGATACAGATGCACTCTTCACCGGAGTCTGTCCAAAGACGCTGACTGCTGGATCTGAACCAGAAGTTCCACTGGTTGCTGATTTCACATTGTGAGAGATAGCACTGTATGCAGGAGGGCCCACTATTTGCAGTAGAAGAAAATATTCAATATATAAGGATTTGTCATGAGTTGTACCAGCAAGTTCTTTGCAGAACATCACTTTTATCACAGAACACCCGAAAGCCACTCAGACCCTGACCAACTTCCCACCTCACAAACTGTCATGCCCAGGGTGCCCTATTTGTCCACTACTGTGATGGTCATCACCTGCCTCTTGTTACAGTAACCCTACCTTATAGTTCTCTCCAAGCCATTATGACCTTTCAATGCAGCCAAAGTACACCTACTCCTAGACTTACAACCTATGTGACTTACAACCATCAGCACTTATGACCACACACGCATGCACACACACACACAAAACTAAGAAAGATAACTACATTGGTAGGGTCAAAGAGTTCCTGGAACTGATGCAACAGCGTATATGCTATGTATTTTTCACATTATGTACAGCATATACGTAGACTGAGTTTTTGTGTTTTATGTACAACTTTCATAACTCATTTGAATGAAAATAGTGTTAAAAATCTCAATTCAACTAATTACCAGTTTGACAGACCTATTAGTCGGAGCGAAACTCAGTCGTAAATCGAGGAGATCCTGTATTTCATGAGAAACAATACTTTTTATTCAAACTCATATCTCCAGCATTCTAACCATTCTACCAGCCGCTCCTCATGCAGCGTGCTGAAATCCTCCTTGTGATCTATGATGGGAGTCTTGAGTTAGTTAACTGTATATCCTTTACAGGACATTGCAGATTCAACCCCACTATGTATTGGCCATTTGGTGTTACTAGGCAATTTTATGTTCAGTAGTTTGCTATTGACTGCTTTGTTCCAAATGCACTGGTGTTAACTCTCCTTTGGAGTAAACAAGGCGGGTCGGGGGAGGGATCATGATGCATGGGCAACATACGGTCTCTACAATACTGCCCAGGCTTTGTGCTAAGGAAATGACAAACAAACTCGCCATGGGCTGTGAGTCCCATGGATCCTCATAGCGTAATATAACACTTATCATCTGGAAAGAGGGAATGGTGCCAATCAATCAGTTTGCCATTGCTTCTGAACAGTCAGCTCTCAATACCACTGTTGAAATCAATGCAAAGCTGCTGCCAAATTGCCCAAGAGGCGCTTGTTACACCTAAGCCACAGAGTATTAATGGGACAATATTTGCAGAAAGTGTTTTGAAAAAAAAAAAAGTATAGAACCGTTTTCCACGCCTTCTGGCAAAGTAGGCATATAGGGCTAGACTTATACTTTATAGACCAATCGACACTTGGTGGGTTATGTCAACATCACGCCAGCCACATTTAATTACCAGGACTGCACCAGGTACCCACTCAAGGCTGGGTCAACCTGCGAGCCAGGGTCATTTTTTAAGAAAGCCCGGTTCCAACAGGACCCAAACCCAAGACCTTCGATCCGCAGGCAAGCACCTAGCCACTACACCACAGAGACTTCTCACTGCACAAAGTTAAAAAAAAAAACCGAAGAAGCTTACCTGAGAATGGTGCTGTCCTTGCCGCTTGCGGCTGAATCATGGGGGAACCGTTAAATCCTGTCTGCAAAGGGAAGTTGTGTGGAGGTGAAGCTTGCATGCCCATAAATGCTGACATCACTGCTTGCTGAGTATTCAAGGCAGACATCTATGAAGATAAGGTGAAGGTAAAGGTGAGAGGAACGACTTGACTGCACCGGGTTTTATCCCACACGGCTCAGTCTCTCTCCGCAGAACAGCTAGCTGCTTGTTGCCAAAAGCGTTGAATAAAGCACGACCTCCATAGCTTCATCAACAATCCCCAGGAATCTCCGTTAAAAACCACACTCGTAAACTGAATAGCACTGCCATGAAACGAACCCATGACCTTCAGAGTGCGAGGCAGATGACTTGACCACATTGCCACAGAGACACCCCCCCCCCCCCCTTTTCTGTATCTACAAAGACAAAGTTGTTACAAGTGAAAAAGTCCCATTCTCCACTGTTAATGCCACATGATTAATTTGTGATATATACACACTGTTCAGAAAAGAAAGACGTTATCCGATGGAGCTTTCATCTTCAAAAAGAGAAAGTCATTTTTATTAGCTGATGGGAAAGTCAGCATATCTAAAAACTATTCATCAATTTTGATTCGGTTGAGCCCATAGGAGTTCTTGAGTGCAAATTGTACAATTTTGCTAATTAAATTACAAAAATAAGGCATGTCAAAGCTGTGTGACAAAATTATGTTCCTTTCAGTACTTTTGTGTTTTGTTGTTTTTGCTGTTGAGTAGTAAAGTGCCATTGGATAACTATGCTTTTCTTTTTCTTTTCTTCCTTTCTTTTTCTTTTTTTTTTTTAACAGTATAGTGCTAATGACACTGTAAATGAAAAATAATGACACCAGCCTGAATTGTGTACCAGGCAATGTTGTTGGGAAGTTATTGCTACTGGCATAATGCTGAACACGTCAGCCCTAAATGTGGTTAAAGCATCAGATGCTGAGTCGTGAACAGCATGAAAAGGGTCCTTTCCAATCAAGAGGAAAAAAACACATTCTTCTATAGCATGACACTTGCTGAGACTCTGGGCACATAACTAATAAGGACTTTGCCTTTTATGTTATCAAATACTCCAGCAGCATCTTTTGAAATTAGCTGAAGCAGTATAAATCAGGATGAGCAATCCTGCTTTAATGAAACAAAAATGAACTTACGGTTATTTAATATTCCATTGTGGGATGTTTAGTGTAATGGGAAAATGGCAAGCAGCTTGCTGCCAAAGTGGTGGTGCCTTATGTGATACGTTGTGTGTGCAACTGGGGAGCTGTTGTGACTGTTGCTTCCATAAATGACAACCTGCATTTCTAGTGCCGGACTGTTTGTGCTGGCATGTCTGACAGTTACTTTGTGCATTGAATGTGTGTGTATGCTTATTGGTTTTATACTTTATTATATGTTGAATTTAGGAGTCACCCTGGTGTAGCAGCTAAATGTTTGCCTGGGGATTGGAAAATCGTGGGTTCGGATCACGACGGAACCAGGCTTTCTTAAAAAAAATGACCTTGGCAGACTACCAGACTTCCCTGAATTAGCTCCCAGGCCAATCCAGCCTAGAGTGGGTTCCAAGTACTGTCCTTGGAAGTTAATGTGGCCGGCGTGCTGTTGACCATATCATCTACCAAGTACCGACTGGTCTTGCCCTATAGGTCAAGCTCTATAGGCCCAATATGCCTGAAGCTGTGGAAAAGGGTCCTTTAAGTTTTACATAAATGTGGAAGTTAATACTGCAGTAATGCTACTGATAAGATACAGTGAAAAATGAAAAGCAGTAAACTGTACTTCTTTTTCAGTGTTAACTCTTAAAAAGGTGGTCGAAAGTTTTGTTGTTGCTTTACAGCTAGGCTGTGATATCAGCACCTTGAGCCTCAACACATTTAATTTAAGTAAATCCTTAATTAGTGGCTTTTTAGTGTCGCGCTTGTCAATGAACAGTGGGTCCATTCCCTAACACCTTCCCTAAATGGGGCCTGGAACCCACGCACGGACAACAAATCATACAGTGTTTCAAACCACAACAGGGAACCAAAATCTGGAATTACTTATATCATGTGTGATTCGGTATAGACATATCTGGACCTCTTCAGTGTTGAACTTTTCCTTGTGTGACTTATGGAAGAAGTGTGCATTATTTCTAGATATATATATGTGTCCAATGACATTCTAAGATGTACGCTGATGATAGAGGTGAAAGGTGCTGGGCTGGATTACATCCATGATACTGAAACAATGGCACAGGATAGGACAGATGGAAGATTAAATCGTGAGCCATATGTGATTAATAAATAATAAAGCATACCAGAATGATCTTCTTTTTTTCTTCTCGTTCACCGGCTGTAAACTTCAGCACGAAGTTATAACTGACTGCCCCCTTTTCAGATCTTGAGTTTTGTGTGTACATCCATTTTAAAGATCTGGCTTACTGGTGCAGACTGTTGGTTCCTTGCCTCCTAGGTAGATGCACTTCGACTTGGAAGGTTAGGAACTGTCCCTAATTAGTCACCTTGAATAACATGTTTGCACGGAAAACAGTGTGACTATTTTGTTGTCCACAAAATGAGGCCCTGAAACCCCAAAGGAGAAAACGATGATGATGATGAATGAAAGGGATCTAGTACAAATCCAACATAACTTAAACATACTGATGATGAATGAAAGGGATCCAGTACAGATCCAACACAACTTAAACATACTGATGGTGAATGAAAGGGATCCAGTACAAATCCAACATAATTTAAACATACTGATGATGAATGAAAGGGATCCAGTACAAATCCAACACAACTTAAACATACTGAGGGTGTCTTACCTGCTGAGGCTGTTGAGATGGGATATTGTTGAATATGCTACCGAGATCATTCATGTCATCCAAACCTGCAATATCAACGGTTATACTATGTGTAAATTGATGCTTCCAATGAGCTGCATTACCTTGCATTGGTGCATGAGCTGCATTACCTTGCATTGGTGCATGAGCTGCATTAGCTCACATTGGTGCATGAGCTGCATTAGCTCGCATTGGTACATAAGCTGCATTAGCTAATATTGGTACATAAGCTGCATTAGCTCGCATTGGTACATAAGCTGCATTAGCTCACATTGGTACATAAGCTGCATTAGCTCACAATGGTGCATGAGCTGCATTAGCTCACATTGGTGCATGAGCTGCATTAGCTCACATTGGTGCATGAGCTGCATTAGCTCACATTGGTGCATGAGCTGCATTAGCTCACATTGGTACATAAGCTGCATTAGCTCACATTGGTGCATGAGCTGCATTAGCTCACATTGGTGCATAAGCTGCATTAGCTCGCATTGGTGCATGAGCCGCATTAGCTCACATTGGTGCATGAGCTGCATTAGCTCACATTGGTGCATGAGCTGCATTAGCTCACAATGGTGCATGAGCTGCATTAGTTCACACTGGTGCATGAGCTGCATTAGCTCACATTGGTGCATGAGCTGCATTAGCTCACATTGGTACATAAGCTGCATTAGCTCACATTGGTACATAAGCTGCATTAGCTCACATTGGTGCATGAGCTGCATTAGCTCACATTGGTGCATGAGCTGCATTAGCTCACATTGGTACATAAGCTGCATTAGCTCACATTGGTGCATGAGCTGCATTAGCTCACATTGGTGCATAAGCTGCATTAGCTCGCATTGGTGCATGAGCCGCATTAGCTCACATTGGTGCATGAGCTGCATTAGCTCACATTGGTGCATGAGCTGCATTAGCTCACATTGGTTAAAGCTGCATTAGCTCACATTGGTGCATGAGCTGCATTAGCTCACATTGATACATAAGCTGCATTAGCTCACATTGGTGCATGAACTGCATTAGCTCACATTGGTGGATGAGCTGCATCTTGCATTGGTGCATGAGCTGCATTAGCTCACATTGGTGCATGAGCTGCATTAGCTCGCATTGGTACATAAGCTGCATTAGCTAATATTGGTACATAAGCTGCATTAGCTCGCATTGGTACATAAGCTGCATTAGCTCACATTGGTACATAAGCTGCATTAGCTCACAATGGTGCATGAGCTGCATTAGCTCACATTGGTGCATGAGCTGCATTAGCTCGCATTGGTGCATGAGCTGCATTAGCTCACATTGGTGCATGATCTGCATTAGCTCATATTGGTACATAAGCTGCATTAGCTCACATTGGTGCATGAGCTGCATTAGCTCACATTGGTGCATGAGCTGCATCTTGCATTGGTGCATGAGCTGCATTAGCTCACATTGGTGCATGAGCTGCATTAGCTCACATTGGTGCATGAGCTGCATTAGCTCGCATTGGTGCATGAGCTGCATTAGCTCACATTGGTGCATGAGCTGCATCTTGCATTGGTGCATGAGCTGCATTAGCTCACATTGGTGCATGAGCTGCATTAGCTCACATTGGTGCATGAGCTGCATTAGCTCGCATTGGTGCATGAGCTGCATTAGCTCACATTGGTGCATGAGCTGCATTAGCTCACAATGGTGCATGAGCTGCATTAGCTCACATTGGTGCATGAGCTGCATTAGCTCACATTGGTGCATGAGCTGCATTAGCTCACATTGGTGCATGAGCTGCATTAGCTCACATTGGTGCATGAGCTGCATTAGCTCACATTGGTACATAAGCTGCATTAGCTCACATTGGTACATAAGCTGCATTAGCTCACATTGGTACATAAGCTGCATTAGCTCACATTGGTACATAAGCTGCATTAGCTCACATTGGTACATAAGCTGCATTAGCTCACATTGGTGCATGAGCTGCATTAGCTCACATTGGTGCATGAGCTGCATTAGCTCACATTGGTGCATGAGCTGCATTAGCTCACATTGGTGCATGAGCTGCATTAGCTCACATTGGTGCATGAGCTGCATTAGCTCACATTGGTGCATGAGCTGCATTAGCTGGTGCATTGGTGCATGAGCTGCATTAGCTCACATTGGTGCATGAGCTGCATTAGCTCACATGGGTGCATGAGCTGCATTAGAGCTGCATGAGCTGCATTAGCTCACATTGGTGCATGAGCTGCATTAGCTCACATTGGTGCATGAGCTGCATTAGCTCACATTGGTGCATGAGCTGCATTAGCTCACATTGGTGCATGAGCTGCATTAGCTCACATTGGTGCATGAGCTGCATTAGCTCACATTGGTGCATGAGCTGCATTAGCTCACATTTGTGCATGAGCTGCATTACCTCGCATTGGTGCATGAGCTGCATTAGCTCACATTGGTGCATGAGCTGCATTAGCTCACATTGGTGCATGAGCTGCATTACTTCGTATTGGCGCATTAGCTGATTTAGTTCGCATAGGTGCATAAGCTGATTTAGCTCACACTGGTGCATGAGCTGCATCTCGCATCGTGAATGAGCTGCATTAGCTCGCATTGGTGCATGAGCTCACATTGGTGCATACACATTGAGCCATTCATGCAAATATCATGAAGAGCCACTGGTATAGCAATAGCAAACAATTAAAAATAACAACTTAGAAAAATTGCCTCATTTCTTCTTTTTGTGTGTTTCCTGACCTTAAATGACAGCAGAAAGTCCTGGCTGTACGTACACTTCTGGTCTCGTCACGGGATTTGATTTTTGCGTGTTCATCTGTTTTACAGATCTGGCTTCAAAGGAAACATTCCTGGTTGGGAACTGGTTTCTGGGATGACCAGGAAGGTGGACAAGACTTGACCAGTATCAGTCCTCGCCCTGATGCACCATGTGTGGTTCAGCATCTCTGTATGTGTGTGTTGTCCATCAAGATGATGATGACCACTCTTTCATCAAGTATGAATACGAAGAAGACTGATGAGGCCGATGCGGCCCTGAAAATTCTTGAACGGTGAGAACAGGGAATGAGTGTTGTGCCAGGGAGGGGATCTCCTGCAGTCGCCTTTCTGTCCATCTTTTTCTTAATCAGTTCAGTCTTGCTATTCTGTTTGCTTCACATGTAGCCATGCCCTTGTGTAGAACTGCTCGCCATGCATTTCGGTTTTGAGAGGCAGCCTCCCAATTGGTCTCAAATGCTCTGAGTGAAGACCTCAAGGTGCCCTTAAAGCCTTTCTTTTGCCCGTCTTGGGAACGTTTCCCATTTTGCAGCTCACCATAGAAGAGTTTTTTTGCATCTCTGTATCTCATGTATCATTTACATGTTGCAACATCAAATCTGGTGTTCTGCATTGAGCTTCTAACGGAAGTCAGAGTCACCTGGTGCATACAGTTCTACCTACTGGCTGAGGCTGCTGCTCTTATGGAACACCCAAATATCAATCAACCAGATGCCACCTGCATGGTGAAGGATGGCTGCAATGGATTTCCAACACGCCCTGTCTCTTGTCCTGGTTGTACATGCTCTGACTGCTGCACGTCCATTTCTTGACGTTGTCTTCTCACTTGTATCACTGCCCACCTCTTGGTCTCTTGCCTTCACCCTTTTCCTCAGTATAGTTTTTAAAAGTGTGTTTGTTATGTCCTTTAATGTGGCCAAAGTATTTCAGCAGTCTCGTTTGTATTTATGTCAGTAATTATCTTTTCATTTGTAGTCTTTCCAGAACCCTTGTATTGGACTGTTTTTTGCTTCCATGAAATATAACATATTCTTTTCTATAATCACACCTCCAGAGACTCAATTCAATTTTCTAATATACTGTTTATCTAAAGTTGTGTAAACTGTGACAACATCACTATTAACAGCATCTTAAAGAATGCAGTTTGCCATTGCTTTCTTTCTCGACAATGACCATTCTGGTCAGGTGACCACAGCCAATGTAACTTTAGTGTGATCCTCTGCCCAACCTCTGAGAACTTGATACCATGACCAACAACTACGTGTCAGCAGCTCTCTAGCTCAATCCACCACCTGCTCCAACCGGTTCACATTACCCTGACAGGCAAGGGCGGATGGCTAAACAGGTAAATATAATGTGGTCAATATGGTCGCCTATCCTAACCTCCTAGAACTCTCCATGACAACCAGCAGTTATAACGATGGAGGTGATAGCAGTAATGCAAGCGTTCGTGTGGCCCGAAACACAAAACTAGACCTGCGCATGTGTACTCAGTAATTAAATGAGTATGATCTGGAGAGTTCAGGCAGGTTCGGTGCAAAGGCAAATCATTACAGAAGTCAACTGTGCGTGGAGCAACTGTTATTTTTTGTTCTAGGATATGTGGGTGTGGATGGAAATGAAAGAACTGATAGGCTGGCTGGATCTGCTATCACTACCGATGGTCAACCTACAGAGCATGCATTATGCTGATATTAATAATGCCCTTCAACAAATGGGAAGGATGGAGGACTTTAAGGGCAGTTAACCCACATCACTTGCCAGAATGATAGACTTGAGAGTTAAGATCCATAGAGCAAAAAATGGACACACACCAGGCTCAACAGAGGACTTATTATCAATACAGAACTGGTATTATTAGCCACCGGATGCTGGGGTTCATAATGAGAGGGAGGATCTGAGCACCTATGGGCATGTCCGGAGTGCAAATGATGATAACCCAACTAACTAACTAACTAAGTAACTGCTTGAGTGGGTTCAGGACACCTTTAGGGGGAAAATTAGATTTACAACCTTCTAATAAGCATGACTAACAAGGCGACTAATTAGGAGTTTGCTGAAACTGGATGTGCTGGGCCAGAGGGTGCAGATATCACTCACAGTCTAGCTGCATACCCCAACAAATTGTCCAGCTACCTTTTAAGGAAGAACTCAGAAGAATTTTCCATAATATTTCCAATTAGCATTTGATGGTTGATGTGGTCAATATAATGTCACCCAATGTTAGCTCCTATAACATTTCCTAGCCCCCATTATTAGTTTGACCTGAACGTCCACGTACATTTGATAAATCTGCCTCAGAGATTCAAATCTAAGGTAACCAGGGATCCTCATGAGATCAATATGAGACTGGAGCAATCACAGACATCTGTGTGGAATAAAAGTGATCACTGACCAAAATTTAACTGCTGGCACCTTTCCTCTTTTATAAATAGTGTTCTTTAGATCTTGAGTATTACCAACAGGCATGAGAATGAATGCCCGTGGCAATGTCCAGTGTGACTAGCAAGACCAGCTCATTGCAAGCTTTGACCAAAAACTCATTTCAAAAAACAAAACAAATGGATGCTGGAGTTCATAATGAGTGGAGGATCTGAGCACCGATGAGCATGACCGGAGTGCAATGATGATAACCCAACTAACTAACTGATTGTGTGGGTTCAGGATACCTTAAGTGTGGAATAAAAGTGATGACTGACCAAAGTCTAATTGCTGGCACCTCTCCTCCTTTATAAGCAGTGTTCTTGAGTATTACCGACAGGCATGAGAATCAATGCCCGTGGCAATGTCCAGTGTAACCAGCAAGACCAGCTCATCGCTAGACTTGACCAAAAAACTCATAAACAAAACAAAAATTAGAACCTTACCTAGTGATTTAAAATCATTGTCTAACAAAGCAGCAGATGAAGTTGCTGCTGTACTTGCAGCACTGGGTGTTGGTCTCACTGAGTCCGAGCCAAGATCCAGAAGAGACGAGTCTGAAATTATAGGATACCTGGCTGACAAAACAAGTTAATGAAGAAAGCACACACCCCATACTTCTTGGTACTGAAAGATCCCTAGACATTTGTAGATCAAAAAGTCCCTAGCAAAATTCCACCTATTCAATGAAGTGGATTCTCATCCATTTAAAAAAAAACCAGAACTAACTAAATGACAATGCTTAGACAACTCTATGTCACAGACATCATTAAAAAAAAGTTACATATCATTGCTCTATTTTGTCATAGATAACATTTTGAAACGGGTTGGAAAAGGGGGGGGGGGGGGAGAGACACACAATTGGAAAGTACAGACCTCATCCCTGACAAGATTTTACATAGTTGCTTTCGGAGAGCAAACAAAGCACAAACTCTGTAGCTCCTGCAATGATCCCCAGGAATCTTGATAAAAATTGCACTCGTTGACTGAACGGCGCTGCCGTTACTATTTTATGCTGTAGAAAACCAACTTAGTATCTTATAGACACATATGTTTCTTAAGATGAAACAAATGAAAGAGTTAACTAGAAAGTGGACAGGCAGCACTTGTTAGGTTCCACCTGATAAATTAAACCTAATCATTTAAAAAAAAAATTTGCCATTTCCATAATAAAAGTTGGCTACAGTGCACCCACCGCTGTCTTTGGGAACATTATGTGGTGAGGCCCCAATCTTTGCGTGTGTGCCATTCAGACCTTTATCTGAAAACCGTGAGAACTCATTCACTCAAGCTCTAAGCCAGAGCCGCTACCCTTAACTAAAAGACAATGAAAAAATGTTTCCCCCGTTGTGAATTTGAACAAAGAAGAAACAAGCAATATATTGCACAATTTATTGCCATCGCATGTCATATTCTGAATTCTAGGCACATTGTAAACAAGGAAGATGCATTTCAAATTATTTACACTTCTAAAACAATGTTTTCCCGTAATGAATTTAAATAATGCGGATACAAACAATACATTGCACAATTTATTGCCAGGCATATTGAAGTTACCCTGGTAAGTCATGTGACTAAGTTGAGCTTCTGGCAGTGAACCCACATCACTTGTCATAATGATAGACTTGAGAGTTAGGATCGGTAGAGCAAAAAATGAGACATTTGAAGTTACCCTCGTAAGTCACGTGACTACGGTGAGCTTCTGGCAGAGAACCCACATCACTTGCCAGAATGATAGACTTGAGAGTTAGGATCGGTAGAGCAAAAAATTAGACATTTGAAGTTACCCTGGTTAGTCAGGTGACTACGGTGAGCTTATGGCGGCCATGAAACAGACACAATGCATCGGAAGAAACTATTTGCATTTCAGTTGAATTTATTCAGTTTTGTGCTTTATTTTATGTTGATGTAACTCTGTAGTAACAAGCCTGATGAGATATAGCAAAATTTGCCTGGCAATAAATTGTGCAATGTATTGTTTGTATCCGCATTATTTACACTTCTGCCAACCGTAGATTACCGAGATTTGTAGAAGTGACAGCGATAAACCGGTTTACTCCAGACTTATGTAGACAAAGGGACATGCTCTTCACCTTGTATTTACCCTGGGGAAGCAGACAGTTTTCAAATGTAGCTGATTTTGTGCTTCAGTTCGAAGGATTTATTCATCTGCTTCATTTTAATCAAATGTACTGCAGTATGCACCTGACGAGATACAACGAAATATGCCAGGCAATAAATTGTGCTATCTTTTGTTTGTGTCTTCTTTGCTTAAAAGACTATGCTCAGACTACGCCGTGTCTTAGATATCAAAGAGTAAGTTGAACATCATAGTTCTATCTTGCTGCAGATAACATTACAGCCTATTATACTTACAGCCACACTTTTTTAAAATGGCGAAGTAAAGCAAATGATGAGAACACACTTCTCACCTTTAGCTCCAGGAGTGTAATCACCTGCAGGTTTTTCTCCCACAACTTTCTCTTTATACAAGGTCATGACACGTGTCACAGAGTCATTAGCTTTGAGAATATCATCTGAAATAAAACAGTAATGTCAGCATCTAATTCATGTTTTATATCAAAGGTTTTCAAACCAAGTGGTATTTCTCCAAGTTTTTGTTAATAATGCTTGGGATTTTTCTGTTTGTCAGATGGTATGTGGTCTTACCGTATATTCAGGGTGGAGGGGGCTTTAACATATATTTGGGAGGAGGTCACATGAAAAAAAGGTCGAAAAACCACTGTTCTATAAAGAAAGATTTATGGTCATCATTACGGTGTGAACATTTGAGAACTGAAGAAGTAACAACATGCTGGAAAGAGAATAAATATAAAACTAATCAATGACAAATTTTGCCTCACAGCGAGTTCTGTGGCATCATTTGGAAAGGGGGAAGAGGGGGGGGGGATTCTGACTCAATGTGGATTTGAGCTCTTGACCATCAGGCAGATAGGCAAGTATTTAAAAACTCAGAAGCCATGGCTTGCAGGACACAACTGGATGTCGAACTGACTTCTTCTTCACCTTCACCAGCTGTAAACTCCAGCAGAAAGGTTCTGGTTGTTTGTCCAATTCTGGATTTGTTTCTGAACTTGAGTTTTACAGATCTGACTTATTTGTATGCAGCCTGTTTGTTCCCTGCCTTTCAGGCGGATGCACTCTGACTTCAAAGGATCCCCTAATTAGTTGACATTTATGACATGCTTGTTAAGGGTAAAGTGGGACAGTACACCCCCCCCCCCCCCCCCCCCCGCCCCATAACAATAATTGGGACCCAGAAACATCAAAGGGATCGATTTACTTAACAACAGCTAAAAACGTTATTTACATGAAAAATAAATTTTAAGTAATTTTTGAAAACAAGAATCATACTGATCTCTCACTGTCATGGTACAGTGGGTCTATTCCCCCCCCCCCCCCACACTAATAATAATAATAATAATTGGGTCCCAGAATCATCAAAGGGATTTATTTACTTAACAACAGCTAAAAACTTCATTTACATGAAAAATAAATTTTAAGTAATTTTTGAAAACAAGAATCATACTGATCTCTCACTGTCATGGTACAGTGGGTCTCCCCCCCCCCCCCCCTCTAATAATAATAATAATAATTGGGTCCCAGAATCATCAAAGGGATTGATTCACTTAACAACAGCTAAAAACTTCATTTACAGGAAAAATAAAATTATAAGTGATATTTTGAAACAAGAATCATACTGATCTCTCACTGTCATGGTACAATGGGTCTAAAAACTTTCCTCACTTGTCATGGTACCCCCCCCCCCCCTCCCCCACACTAATAATAATAATAATAATTGGGTCCCAGAATCATCAAAGGGATTGATTTACTTAACAACAGCTAAAAACGTCATTTACAGGACAAATAAAATTATAAGTGACTTTTTGGAAACAAGAATCATACTTATTCCATCATTGTCATTCTCATCTGTATCACTGGCTAATCTGAACAGGTTGGGTCTTTGCTTCTCCAGGTTGTCAAACAACTCCTGCAGACAGGTGTTTTCAAAAGTTACATCAGATGGTAAGATGGAATGTATAGCTCAGTCTTTTAGTCTCATCCAACACATCATGCATGGCCAGCTACCAACCATGTGTATCAAACAGTTCATAATTTGATCTGACATGTACACAGAAATGTGGGTAGGTATTTTAAAAAAGGAATATGGTACAGGATCTGCTTATTTACAACCAAGTTATGTTCTGATTGACAGATCATAAATCAAACTGCAAGTAAGTTGAATTTATATTTTAAAACACTATTTTCATTCAAGTGGGTTAAAAAAATAGTTCACAGAACAAATAGTTGTTGGGAGCATAATGAAGCTACAATTATGAAAGGAGGCCAGAAGCAGACGGCTAGTGTTGTCCAAAATTGTACTTTGTCTTGTATATTTCACTGTACTCATATTAAATAGTTTCATACAAAAATTGGGTGAACAGTATTTTTATAAAGTATGTTAACACTTCTGTAAAGAGCCACGTGAATTCAAGATGGTGACCATAATCAGGTGAGCAAATTGTATAAAAAACATTTCTCATAACAAACATCTAATGCAAAACTATGACAATTTCAAAACCTATACAATTTGAAAAAAAAAAAAAAAAAAAAAATTAAATCATTTTCCCAAATAACTCATTTTTGATGTCTTCAAACTTAGTAATGGGAGACACACAAAAAGTTAGCTGCCCATCCATTACAAGATGTTGCAGAACCAACCCCAGCATTTTTGGCTATTTGGTATGTCGCCATCACCCTGAACAGTCGGCTCTAGATATCACTATCGAAACCAACACAAGACAGTCTGTTGCCAAATTGTCTGCAGCTGGGACTGAGCCTGGCCTCAGAGTTATTGAAGCGCATTTGCATCATCTAAGCCACAGATGCTGACAATGGGAGATAATTCTAGTTCTAAACTGCTCGTCAGCAATTTTAAAGACACAAGATGTAGCATCAACTTTATAAATGGTTAACAAACAAAAAACACACACACACAAAAAACGAAAAAGGAATTAGCAGAGAATCTGTAAAGTATGCTAGAAGAATAAATAATTTTTAAAACTGAAGGATAAACTGACAGACCTTCATCATCTCTTGCTCATCCTTAGATGAGGCAGAACTTGTGTGCTGGTTGATCATTTCAGTCAGAAGCTTGACTTGATTCCTGATTGACTCTAACTCATTGATACGCCTGGACCTCTTTTCTGTTCTCTCCATATCCTGTGGATTTAGAATGTGTACTAAATTCAGCAAAATACTCTTATTTTTTTCTTTCTTCTACGTTCACCCGAAGACGTAATTGTACTGTTCCCCATTTACAACTTGGCTGGGATATTTGCGCCTTTCGGGGGACACATTCAACTTCTGCAGGCATTTGTTGTCCAGGTTAGCCTTTCTGGATTTATGCATACATCCGGTGCAATAAACATTCAAAGAAAGACGTGTAAAGATACTCATGAAAGACTATATTTTGAAACAGATGACCCAACCATTCATGAAAATTGCACTGAACCTTTATACTTAATCTCCTGGGGGGGGGGGGGGGGGGGGGGGGGGGGGCTGCGTGGTCTCGAGGTATGGTGTCGGCTCGAGTGCTAGAGGTTCCGTGTTCACTTCCCGGCAAAGGCTTAGATTTCTAGTAATTCCCTCCGGTCTCTGGGTAGAGAGATCGGACACCCATGTGCACTTAAAAAAATCCTTTGGTAGTTGGAAATGGAAAAGAATAGTCTAACGGCGCTGCCCAGGCAAAAATTTTGAGTTAAAAATCTACCCAAAGTATTTCAGGATCCTCGCTGTTGCTACCCAGCCAGTGCACTGTGCTGAGCTTCTTCGGGCTCAGACTTGAGTTAGAAGAAGAACGGAGCATTTATGGGTTACTACCCGTATGCCATGGTGTTGATCTGTTGTTCAAATTTCAAACTTCACCTCCTCTTTTACCACTTCGGCGGTTAAGGGAGATACAAGCTTCTGCTTATATCTCTAAAAATACTAAGAAAAGAAAAAATCTAGAATACAATCTGAAAATCAGGTATACTGTGTAATAAAACATTTGTTAAAATCAAATGCCTAATCTCATAATACTAAAATCATAATTTATCACACACTGATAAGACCGACTGTTTTACATGGCTCTGAAATAATCTGGAATGTAGCCAATATTGGTGCATAAATTATAACTTTCTTGTGAGACAAAGGGGATTTGGGATTTTCCCTGTAAGATTTCTACCTCTGTGACTCTTTGAGGTGATGTGGAGGTTATGGCGATCTAGTCTAGCCACTCTAATGACAGAGGCCACAAGTCTCTCAGTAACTGCCTTATCTCTCTAACCAGCTCCAAATCACATGCAGTACGTAACCTCTAAGACAGTTTATCTAATACATCTGCATTATGGTCCTTGTCATTCTCAGCTTTTTTTTTTTCTGGCCAGTATTTATTTCTGGTGGTCACATACATGTCAGAGATTCAACTGGCTAGACAAGACTTATGATTGATCTCTGAGTACTTCAGTTAAGTGATCTGAGTGTATTCATATTTGTGGTATTGTTCCGGGACCTGAGTTTTGCATGTGCATTTGTTTTACAGATCTTGCTAAACGAGATGCAGACTGCTGGTCTTTGCCTCTCAGACAAATGTACTCCGACTTTGAAGGAAGCTCCCAATGAGTTGACTCTTACGACATGCTTCCTGGGGAGGCAGTGGGTCTATTCTTGTTTATTCCCCACAAGTGATTTGACTGTATTCTTGTTGTATCTGCGGTCATGTATACTCATGCCATGTGCTGTTGAAGGCTCTCTAGCCACACAGTTCACTTGCTGTTTGTGATATGTGAAGCTAACTAGTTTTTATCATTTTTTTGACTCTCTGAGGCACAGAGGTGTCAAAGCTTCAGGTGGCAACCCGAAGAGAAGAAAAAACAAAACATCTGATTATGTGGCAATGAAGACAATCAGCAGCTGAACTGAGGTAATTAAAACTACAAAAGGCAGATAACTGACAGTGACAAATCACAGGATGCAACAACCAATAACAACAAATGTTATTTGTCTAACCTCTTTAACCATGTTTTTGATCAGCCTGTTTGCTGCTTGCAGATCTTCAGGGTTTTTACTTCTCAGCAGGCGCTCTAGAGTCTTTAAAAAAAAAAAGGCGTAAATACAAAGTTGATATGTTGAAAAATATTTAGATGCTATATTAGCTTCGTTTTATACATATACATATATATATATATATATATATATATATGTGTGTGTGTGTGTATATAAAACGAAGCTAATATAGCATCTAAATATATATATATAAAATGAAAATGACAGGGGTGGGGTGAAAGAGAAAGAGAGCGTGAAACAGAAAAAGACGGTGATACAGAGAAAAGAGAGTGGGGCAGAGAGATGGTGACAGAGAAATGTGGAATGACAAAGGGAGAGAGGAGAAGGGAGAAAGGGAGACAGAGAAGAGAGAGAGAAAGGAAAGAGGGAGAGCCACATTGAAAAAAAAGATAGATAATATAATTAAAGGCATTTTAAAGGTTAGAAGACTGACATTATTGTGCCACATTGTAAACCATACAACTTTGTCTCTTTACAGTAGCTCAAAGTATTAATCAACTCTGTAGCTCCAGCAATGGCCTCCAGTGACCTCCTAAACACCTATACTTGCAAAGCAAAGAATGGAGTCCAGAACTAAGCCCATAACCTTCACAGCATGCGGCTAATGGCTCAACCTTTTCACCATAGAAACACATCAAGAAGGATCATTTTGGATGTCATTAGCACAGTAGAACTGAAATCTTTGTTTTTTCTTAGCGTTCATTAACTATAAACTGAAGCAGAAAGTTCTGACTGTTCGTCTACTTATAGACTGTGGTCTTCTTCCAGAACTTGCCTTTTGTGTGCTTATCCGTTTTACAGATCTGGCTAATTTGTATGCAGAAAACTGGTTTTTCGCCTCTGTGGCAGCTGATGTGGTCCGACTTCAAAGGAAACACCCCTAATTAGTTGGCTTTTACAACATGCTTGAGGGGTGGGGGGGGGGGGGGGGGGGAAGAGTGCGTGACTACTCCCACCACCTCCAAAATGGAGCTACAGAACCCACACAAGGAGTAGTGCACTCATTATTGATGGCTTATTACACTATCTAATTCTTGGAAGTTGGGCTTTCGTACATACCTTCGCTTTTTCATCATCTTCAAAATCAGCCTTCCTTGGTTTTGGTGGAGGAAACATGCTAAAAGTCTGGAGAGAAGACAATATAAAAGGTATATTTTAGGAAGGTTATCAAAAGGTATCTTTAATTATACCATATATACTTCTTCTTTTGCAATATCTGTGCCTTTTTTTTAAAAATCATAGTAAAACATCAAGTTAATCATCATCATCATCAAGTTTCCCTGCCAGATGGAAGCAGATAAACTATCCAGAAGTGTGAATAGATCATAGTACCATAAGAATTAGAACTCTGTACTGGTTGCTGAAGATAGGGATGAAGTGTTTATGGGAATGTCCCGAGTGCTGCGCCGTCACTTCTTAACTCAATTTAACAAAAGTTTAATTTGAAATTTTTTTTTATGGTGTGCATCTATACATTTGGCTCCCAGGTCAACCCAGCCTTGAGTGGGTACCGGGTGCAGTCCCGGGAAGTGAAGGCAGCCAGCGTGATGCTGACCACATCACCTATCTTGTGCCGATTGGTCTATAAAAATATAGGTCTAGTCATGTATGCCTAAAGGCGTGAAAAAGGGTCTTTAACTTTTTATATATTTTTTATTTATACATTACTTTCCGTTGTTTACTTTGCCAATAAATTTGAGGCTAAATCAAGTATATTGAAGAGAGATGATGGTGATAGGACAGTTAGAAACCATATGAATTGCGTTGCCTATCCTTTACAGGATGTTGCAGAACCAACCCAAGCAGCCCCTGGCTGTTGTGTGGTTTCTCTAAGCAAATTTACATCCAGTAGTTTGCCATTGCTTTCTGGACAGTTGGCTCCCTGATACCACTGTCAAAACCAATGCAGGGCGTGTGGCGTAGAAAAATGTAGGAAGCTAAAATACTAGAACTGAAACTAGTCATAAAATTGATTAAAGTACAATTGCAGAGATGTACAACAGCAATATTTTGATGAGGTAAATGGAGGAAGAAGGGGAAAAAGAAGATAAAGGAGGAGACAGAGGAGAAGAAGCAGAAAAAGAAGAAGAAGAAGAAGAAGAAGAAGAAGAAGAAGAGGTAGAAGAAGAACCAGAAGCAGGAGAAGAAGATGAAGGAGGAGAAGATGAAGCAAAAGAAGAAGAAGATCAAGCGTGGGTATTATGCATCAGTGCATATTACATATAATATGTAGAGAATATCAAATGACAATAAACAGTACCAATGGGAACACTATTTCAATAACTTCCAGGATTTTAAAAAATACATACTTTATCCATGTAAACTGGGTCTTCTTTGACTATACCCTGAGACTTAAGCATCTTATAAGCTTCCCCAATCTTAGGCTCATGGCTGAGTCCCTTATACCAGCTGTACATGATCTCAACACACCTCTTTTTCACCTTTTCGGATGTTCGATTTCCAAGATACTGAAAGATAAAACAGACAATTTTACACACACACACACACTGATCTTAGCAGTTTTGGCAACACATCACCAAGTATTCATTATTTATAAAGAAAACAAGTAATAACATGGAGAATACAATTAATTATGACTAAAGTGGTAGATTTATGAATTAGACTGGGGAAAGAGGAGAGGGAAATTGTAATCAGTGCGAACTGTCATTTACCAGTCATGGCATGGGGTGAAGTGCTAGGATTCTCCTATAGCAGTTCTTTTGTAATCCTGCCCCCCCCCCCCCCCCCCCCCCCCCCCCCCCCCCCCCCCCCCCCCCCCCCCCCCCCCCCCCCCCCCCCCCCCCCCCCCCCCCCCGGCCTTTTCACTTTCCTGCCTGAGTGAAGCCGGGAAAATAAGTCTAGTTTCTAGTGTTTTCTTGCTGTAAATGTGTTTCTTGGCGTCACCATAGTGCGTCTGATTTGTCAGCACTCGGGCCATCACCCACTTCATCGTCATCATGTAGCAGGTCCTTTGCAGAACGTCGCTCTCATCACAGTCTGCCTGAAAGAAACTCGGTCTCTCGCCAGTTCTCCTGCCTCATATACTTTCATACTGAAGGAGTCACTTATATCCTGTGCCCATCTTCATGTCGGATAGGCCCCTGCCCCTCCTTCCTGGTACCATGCCTTCTGCTATAGTTTTTTCTAATCCGTTGTGGCGCTTGATATGACCAAAATATTTCAGCTTCCGAGAAAGGATGCTGTTTATTAGCCAATCTTCCTTGATGTTCAGATCTTTTAAGATGTCAATATTTCTCCTCTTCTTTGCCCAAGATATTCTGAGAATCTTTCTATAGCATTTCAGCTCAAAAGCCCCTATTTTTTTTCTTAAGGACTGAGAGATAGTCCACGACTCACATCCGTATGTAGCCACAGGGAAGATGCATGCTCTCAAAATTCTAATTTTTATCTCCTTGCTGGTGCTAAACCATAGACTTTTAAGGCTTACATAGTGTAAATATTTTCAGGTGTACAAAATAGAGCCCTTACCGCCGACGTATTTTTTGCGTTTGGAGGAAAAAAAAGTATTGAGCACAGGGGAAAAGTTCAGCGGGAAACTTGCTTAGCACAGTGGTAACGTTCGCTGGCGGAGTACGAAGCAGCGGAAGGGTTAAGTATATATAATTTCTTTTGCATATTATTTCTTACTGTACTAAACATAATAATTCTGCCACTGTTAGGGCTAAATCTGGATTTTCCATGTGGAGACTAAGGAAAGGGGGGGGGGAGGGAAGGAGTACTTAACTTGCCGGTCGCTACCCTTTTTTCGGGTAACACATATTCGGAAAACACATATTCATTGAAGTTATGAAGGAAAATAATTGTTTGGGGGTCGTCACAATATGAGGGAGCTGTATTAAAGGATCGCAGCACTAGGAAGGTGGAGAGTCACTGCTTTAAATGTACATTGTAAAAGGGGACTAATTATGAGGCTGGTGAAATCAGATGTGCTGGGCTCAAATGCACAGATATCACAGCCTAGCTGTAAACCACAACAAAATATGCCAACTGAATAGAACATCTGTACAATTACCTTAGGAGATACAACTTTGATAAGTTCATTAAGAAAACGGAATTTTCCAATTTCCTGATGAAAGTATCTCCCACAGTTCTTCACGCAGGCTTCCAAGGTCTGTAAATATACATTTTTAAAACTTCTGAAATATTAACATCAATATTCTCTAACAATAAAACAATGCTTCATTCTATCCTTTACCCAAAGCCTAGACGACACTGAAGCTTCACAATCCTTCCCTCTCCTCTTTTTTTCTCTCTCTCATACACGCATTCTCACCCCACCCCTATTTTATTCTATCAAACACTTCACATTTACCAGCAGTTTGTGTTCCGGAAAAGAGAGAGGGGGGGGGGGGGGGGGGGGGGGTATATTTTGGGAAGACAAGAGTAGACCCACTAATTAAAGATGTTTTGTTCAAAGTTGGAGTGCATCTGCGTAAGAGTTCAGGAACCAACAATCTGCATACAAATATGCCAGACCTGTAAAATGGATGTGCATGCAAAATTTAATTTCTAGAACCAGACAAAGTCCAGAAGTGAACAAACAACCTGAACTTTCTGCTGGAGTCTACAGCCTGTGAACATGAAGAAGAAGAAAAAGAAGAAGCAGCAGCAGGAGGAGGAGAAGAAGATGATGATGATGTCTGTCAGAGGCAGGCTAGATTTTAGAGCTTTCAGGTTAGCATGATCATGGCTGCCAGGTTTTGAAATTTCCAATGACACCCAACTCAACAATACTTGAAAACTTTATTTTATCTAACATAAAATTATAGCTTTTATTAACATTTCAAAATTTAGAAGAAGAAAACATGAAGAAGAAAACAAGGAAGAAGAAAATGAGGAAAAATAGGAGGAGGTAGCAGGGAGGAAGAGGAAAAGAAGACATGTGATGGAACAATTAAAAAAAAAACTTTTGTTAAATAAAAAACAAACACAAAAAACAACTAAGTTGTAAAGCATGTTTCCCATTTCTCTCTCTCTATGTAGTGTGCACATACATATGTGTGTGCATGTATGTGTTGGGATGGGTATGGGGAGAGACAATAAAAAGCAGATGTGCCGTGGACATAAGAACTTATTCAAATACGTACAGTAAGTGCAAAGAGTGCCTCTTTCTCTTGTGGTGACTGTATTTTATGGGCAAGAAGCCTTGTTGACAACAATGGACCCTCCAGTTCTGCATTCACTTTATCACAAAATGCTGTTATCTTATCCCAGTCCTCTTCTTTCATAGAAGGATCTGTTGCTCGATCTAAACGAATACATAAATTAAAATCTGGCTCATCATCACTCAACACATTTGGAACTGTGAACCTCTTTTAACAACAGTGAAAATTCAATGGCACAAACATGTAATAAGATAGATCAGCCTCTGCAAAAGGATACTAAAGGCTCTGGACGAGCACACAGCGTTTTGCAAAATCACCTTTATTTTTGTCTCAAGGCATGCTGAGGTGAGAGTCAATGAGAGAGCAGATTCTCTGGCTAACAGTGCGATTATCAGGAATGGGCCCTCTATGGACAGGAGAGACATCATCGATGCCATATGTGAGGCTAAACTTTCAGTTTTGTGGAAAATGATTTTTCGCTGAATAGAGTGCATACCTTGGGTGTACCAATTGGAGCCCTGAGACAAGAAAACCATGCAGGAGTCACCCATCATTACATCAGCCAGAAAAGAATGGGAGCTGTGAGCCTAAAAACACTTGGAGACATACTCAGGAGGAGATCGGAGCACTTATGGTCATGTCTGATGTGCGATGAAAATGATCTCAAAAATGAACAATGGAAGAGGGGAAGGGGAGAAAAAGCAGAACACAACAGGCCTCGATATAGAACTGAGCCGAATGAACAGACCTCAGACATCTATTTCATGTTCCCTGCCAGACAGAGGTGGATGGAAGTGTTCAGACAGTCAACGGCAACTGGTGACCCAACAACATGAGGTGTTATAGGACTATGATTATGAATAATTAGCGCTCGCGCATGCACAGGCAGGCAGGCACGCCCGCACGTGCACACACACAAGTTCATTGTCTGAGAAAAGGATCTGCCAATTAATATGGACACAAGCATAACTTGACTGCACTACTGGATGACATTAATACATTATGCTTAACCCTTTCATCCCAAGAGGCTGAAAAATTGACAACTCTGGTTAGGTCTTATTCCCCATAATTGTCACCTTTCCAACTTATCTGTTGTGACCTATTTACGAGATGCAAGTTAGCACTATTGGCTGTTTTCACACTTGTGCAAAATGTTTAGGTCAGAGAGTTTTCCTTTCAGTCCTAATTCCAACATGCTCATGTCTTACTTTTTAGTGTTCCCAGAGTGAGAGGGTTAAACTATCTGTCAGTTGCTTTCCTCTAGTAATGCCCATTAGTTATACGGGAACTTCATGAAGCAATCAACAGAAGAAATCAGAAAAGTCAAAGTCACTGCCAAACTGGATTGCCTATAAACTTGTGTAAGTTTATCAAATACAATTTTACAATTAGAGGAAAAAGTAAAGAACAAAGCGTGAATAATATCAGAAATTCTAAGCAAAACAGCAGAAATATTTAACCCCCAAAAAAAATGAAAAATACCCCTGAATATACATAATTAGATAAAGCAGTAAAGGTTACTGGACTGAAATGATAGACATGTTTAAATATATAAACCCATGAGGTTTCAGGGTCCCATTGTGGGAAAAACAAGAATAGACCCACTGCCTTCCCAACGAGCATGTCACAAGAGGACTAATTAGTGAGGTGGCTTCTGCCTGACAGGCAAGGAACAAAATCTGCGTACAACACTCAGATTCTGGTACAAGACTGAAGTCCAAAAGTAGTTGAACAACCAAAACTTTCGGCTGGAGTTTACAGCTGGTGAACATGAATAGGAAGAAGAAGAAATATATATATATATAAATTCAGAAGACGGCGGAAAGACATCACCACATAATGCAATGAACTAATGGGTATCAAAGAAAGAAAAATCCCACTTGATGAGAATAGAATATTCATAATTTTCAGTAACAATTTAAAGATTACCATCGAACATTCCCTTTACAAGCCATAATGGTGAATTAACAGTCTGAAATAATGATTTCTACTCTCACTTTAGCAGACAGTAACAGCTGCTTCACCCAGCAGAAGTGGTAACAGTATGTGACGATAGTTTATTCTGTGTGTGTGTATGTGTGTGTTTTTTTTTTCTCTCCTAAAATCTTGCATTACCCATGTAAAAGCTTGTAAATGTCGAAGGAGACAAAGCATGTGTGGGAATGTCTCTAGTGCAGTATTTACCCTATTTAAGTTATACACTGCGATTATGTGCGAAGTGTTAAACCTTCATATGTTCTAGTCCAAGGCTATTCAACTGGTGGCTTGAGGACCAAATCCAGCCCACAATGGCCTAGCAAGTGGCCAGCAGATCTTTCTTTACTGTAACTTGGACCTCTGGCTAGTGACAATGGAAAATTTGAACATTTGGCCCTCTAAGTAAACTTAAGGTGAATAGCCTTGCTCTTTAGGCCAGTGTTTCCCAAACTTTTCTTAGTCACAGTTCCTTTTCCCAGTTACAGTTTCTCAACGGTGCCCTAACCTAAGTAAAAGTATGACTATTCGTATGTATGAGATAACAAAAAATAAAACTCATGTATCTTCGAATATTTTGCAGTGCCCCTGTGAAGAGATCACAGCTTCCTGGGGCACTGTGGTGCAGTTTGGGAATCACTGCTCTAGGCCATGATATATTAAAGCCAATTCTCTTTCCCGCTTCCCCACATTATTCATCTTGGTTCCTTTATTTTCTACTACAAACAGAAACATAGAGGCTGCTGCATAAGACTGATCCGGATGGTGCACAGTCCTCAAGCATGATGTATTGTTAGCCTGTCGGGCAGCAGAGGTTTCACTGGCAGAAAAATGCACAGAGGCAGACTTGAAAGAACCGTGTGGCAAATCCTGCCTCTACTGTCGCATTCAAGGAACCACCCTGGTGTAGCAGCTACATGCTCACCTGTAGATCCAAAGGTTGTGGGTTCAAATCCAAACGGAACAGGGTTTTAAAAAAAATTTACCAGCTTGGTTCCCAGGTAGACCTAGCCTTAAATGGGTTCCAGGTAAAGTCCTGAGAAGTAAAGGCGGCCAGCATGATGTTGACCATATCACCAAATGAGTACTGGCTTGTCTATAAAATATAGGTATATCTGCCTGAAGGCCTGGGAAATGGTCCTCTGCTCTACTGTTTTTGTGTCCATCTGTTGTATGCATTTATTAAGAACTTTCCAAGCTCAGACTAGATCCATCAGCCATCTTCGTACTCTAAATTCTTCTCTTCTTCTTTGTGTTCACCAGCTGTAAACTTTGGCTGTTTATCCACCTGTGGACTTTTGTCTTGTTCCAGAGTCTAAGTGTTGTGTGCTCATGTTTTTTTACATATCCGGCTTATTTCTTTGCAGACTGTTGCTTCCCTGCCTCTCTGGCAGATGCATTTTGACTCTGAGGGAAGCTCCCAATTGGTCGCCTGTTACAACATGCTTGTCGGGGAGGCAGTTGGCCTATTCTTATTTTACCCCCACAACGGAGCCCCGGAACTTACAGAAGACTCTTAATTATTGATCACTTATCATTTTAGACACTACATGTTAGGCCTTTCCTAATCTCTTCTGCCTTGTGGGTTCCAGCACACTAACAGTTTAGTTATATTCAAACTTTCTCAATGAGTGTCCTATTTAGTGCTAGCAATTTTATCATCATCAGGTACCTTGCCGACTGGATTGGGCGATCATGTCTCTCCACAATCTGCTATCTCCTGCAACAAGACTGTCAAGAATCTTCTCTTGTTGTCTTCCTATATTCCTCCTTCCATAGATCTTTCCAGTGGTCACAACATGTTCCCTTTTCCCTGTTCTCATAACATGGCCGAAAAATAATGACGAGCTCCTTCTGATGTCTGTGATAAGTTGTCTTCGGGCTCCCACCTCTTTCAAAACCTCGTGGTTGCTCGTTTTGGCTGTCCAAGGTATTTTAAGCATTCTTCTGTAAAAACACATTTCTAAGGCCTCAAGAAATTTTTGGCCTTCCTACCGATTGTCCAGGACTCACAGCTATATGTTAAGAATTCTTTTTCTAACCTTCAACGACAGAGATATATTGACACAATTTTATACTTTTTTAGTTTATACAAAATGGGATGAATTCAAGAGGAGTGAAGAAATAAGAGAAATGTCTGGGTGACCACATGTGTTAACAGTTATAAGATAGACAAGATGGCACTATATACTGAATACTTTCTGAGAACAGACAAACATATACAAACAGGCACTAAAAAAGACAGTGAGAGACTGAGGAAATGAGGATGTCTAAGCGAAAACGAGAGAAGCCAAAGGTGCCAAACTAAATTCCATCCATGATACCAAAGTGAATGCACAGGAAAGAATGGAACAGAGAAACAGACTGCTAGCCCTATGTGACCTCTAATGGCACAATAAGACAATGAATGAAATAATGGATTTTTTACCACCTCTTTCGGGAAGGCAAACCTGGGCATCAAATGCCTACAAAAATCAGACTTGTCAGCCGAGAGGCGCAAATATCGCAGCCATGTTGTAAACGGGCACAATGCATTAACATCTTCAGATGAATGTAGAGGAAGAATACCATCTCTTCAATGATTATAACTTATATTCTCCTGATACACTGTATTAGTAAATCTGTCTATTATAATCTAGTCTGGATTAAATAAGAATGATCAGAATATTACAGAATGGCTGTGAAAAAACCCAGAAGAGATCGAGTAAGAAACGATGTGATCACAAGAACAGTTGAAACAACACCCATCATCAAATTTATTGAAAAAACAAAGAATGAAATGGTTTGACCATCTCATGAGAATGAAACCAACAATGCCAGTAGCAAGAGCATACAACCTGAAAATCAAAACATCAAGAGGCAGGGGAAGACTGAGAAGAATATGGATTGAAGGAGTCACTGACACTCTGAGACTGCATAACATCACGGCATATCAAGAGACAGAGCATGCCCAGGCTCGACTGCCGATAGTCTGATGAACTGTGACGCCTAGCGGCATAACTGTGACGCCTAGCGGCATAAGGAGATATTGACAAAAGAAGAAGATTACAGGAATGCTCTATTCACCCACATCTAAAAGAAAAAAGCAGAGATGCAAAAAAAAAGTTTTTTTTTAAATGAATTCTTTCTGATGCCACTGGCTCAGCTCATCCAGCAAATGATACCAGACTAACATTTTTAACACACCAATCCATCTTCAACAGCTGATGTGACCAACATCAGGCCTGACACCTTTAATTCCCAGGACAAATGCTGCTACCCATTTTGGGTTGCGTCAACCTGGGAGCCAAGAAAATTTATTTAAAAATCTACTTCTGTGGGAATTTGAACCCACATCCTTTGGGACCTGCAGAAAGGAATCTAGCCACTGTGCTACTACAATCCTTTAGCAAAGATGAATACTGAATAAAATGTGGAATAATGTTTCTGAGTTATTCAGCAGGTATCAGAGAAACGACTATAATCCCATCAGTAAATTACGGCTAAATTATACAAAGGGTACGGAAGCAGAAGATGTTGCATGAATACCCCCTGCTCATTGCAACTAGTATTGTAGAAAGATAACTGGGCATAATCCAAATCTCTATGTTTCAAATGTGGTCCAGGAAAAAGCTACACTGATCATGTTAACTGGCAACAGCTGTTGGAACATTACAATCTTATGGAGCATACAAATACCTTATCGGCACATGCGCAAAAGTATTTATGTTAACAGTGAATGCAGTTAGAATGAATGCATAACTCTCCAGCATTTAACATACCAGTTTTTAAGTTCATTTTCTGTGTTAAGAATGTGTGACACTTTCAAGTTAACACTCCCCGTGTGGGTTCCAGGGCCCCAGTGCGGGGCAAAAAATAATAGACCCACTTCCCCTCCCCATCCCTAAAAAGCATGTCATAAAAGGTCAAATAATTAATTAGGGATGTTTCCTTTGAAGTCCTAGTGCATCTACATGAGAGGCAAGGAATCAAGTTTGCAAACAAATGAGTCAGATTTGTAAAATGGATGTACATGCAAAACTCAAGTTCTGGAACAAGACTAAAGTTCAGACATGGGTAAGCGATCAGAACTTTCTGCCAGAGTTTACAACTGGTGAACATGAAGAAGAAGAAGAGTTTAAAACAAATGAACAGTTATAATCTTCTACAGGAGCTCAAACTACTTACTAGTTAAGTTAATAAGTTTATTTATTTTTCGGAAAAGACTTCATTCAAAATATTTTATCATCTATGCCCGGCTCTCTAGCGAAGTTGGTTAACACTGACTTTCGCGACGGCCGGATGACGAAGTCCTTGTGGTCAGGGTTCACTCCCGGAGGTAGGAAGAAAAGCCACATTTCTCCCAGATTAACGGTACTTATAATGGAATCAATGCCGAAGGGTTGCGATATCCATAGTACCGAGCCAAAGGGTTTACAACTCATGGTTTCTGGATACGTTGAAAAAAAAAAAAAAATCATCTATACTGATTTGTAACCTAGAGGAGAAGATAAATACAGGGCACTTGGTCACCATGCTGCCTGAGAATTTTCAACTTATATTTGAATGAAATAGTGACACCTTAGTATGATTCAAGGTATTCTTTTAGTCTGTACCTGCAACAATAACAAAATACACTGCTTCCTGAACTATCTGAACTTCTGGCTACCTTTGCCTTTGTAAGTAAACTACAAATTAACCCACTCCACTGGCAAGACAGCAGCATGCTGCTTCAGTATACATCAGTTAGGTAATTTTGTGTATTTGTGTGGTTTTGTATGATTTATGTATGTGCTGACAAAGGCTCTGTAGCCGGAATGTTCATTTTTCGTTTGTGTTTCTTATATTGTGAAGCTCGCCAAGCTACTTTTCGTTTGGTTTGATATCTTTCATAGATAAAAATGAAGAGGAAAGGACATTATTGCACATCTATTTTTTATAGACCAACCTACATTTTATGGGTGGTGTGGTTAACACCACACCAGCCACCTTTACTTCCCAAGGCTTTTCTTGGTACCACTTTTTAGGCTGGGTGCAACCTAAGAGCCCAAATCTTTTTTTTTTAATACACCTTGATGTGAAGCCAAACACATGAAGTCTGGGCCAGAAGGTAAGCATACTAGCCATGTTCCGTGCACATGTGGTTTCCCTTAGAGAATGACTAATATTAAACCCATGTTGGGTGTTCAAGTCATATCAGGATAGTGACTAAAGAGTGCTTCGGCACAGACATAATAGAAAGCCTGTTGTTGCAAAGCTGATAAATTAAAACAAATGGCTAAAGTCTTTCAACATCAAGAAAGATACTACCAAGGAACACATTGCATGTGCAAAAACCAGTATGTTAGTCACAGATCTAGCTCAAATACTGCTGTAGATGTTATTGTAAAGAAATGCTTGCCTCAGTCAGAAATGGTCAATATAATGTAAATAAATATTTCAAATGGCAAATACATGGCACAGGGGATGCATTTTCAGGCTATCCTCTGAATAATGGTCCCAAATTATTGAGGCCGAAAATATACCCTAACAGGGCCTCAGTCACGTGTCAATCGCGGACTTCTGGGGACTATAAAGCAACCCCCGAATTGAGAACTTCCGGGGACTATACCACCACCGCCGAGAGTATCCCCCACGCCGCTCATGCGGCGTGGATTGGGGCTTAACTAGATGGCTAGGACTCACGAGCAAATAAAATGAAGGAAGCTGCAGGAGATGCGGTAGCTGCTGCTCGTGAGTCCCAGCCATCTAGTTTAGCCCCAATCCACGCCGGTCACGTGGCATGGGGGATACTCTCGGCAGTGACGGAAGTCGCCGAAAGTGCGCATTTAAGACGGAAGTGCGCAATTGACACGTGACTGAGGCCCTGTTAGGGTATATTTTAAGCCTCGATAATTTGGGACCGTTCTTCGGAGGATAGCCCATTTTCAATATAACAATCAAGTTAACATTAACCAAAACAAGGACTGAGACTGAGGTTAATATGAGAAATGTATGGGACAGTCCCAGTTAAGGACTTGTCATACTAGAGGATCTTAAAACACAAAATACCCTTCCCACAGTGCTCTTACCTAAGGATGACACTTTATATAATATACTATTTTACTTTTTACAGTTTACAATAAGAATCACAGAATAATTAAATAATGGGGGACATGCATACATTTATCAACTTAGTCAATAAGTGGTTTGTGCTGCTGGTGAAGATTATCACTATAGACTTGTTTTGCACGAAAACGTTACAGGTTCATAACATAGTATATAACTTATAAACCGGTACACAACATTATATATAGATCGGTAACTTTTTGTTGATGTCAATCTCTTTTCCTTCCTTCTTGCATCTGACAGACAGCCCAGTTAGTGTTACTGTGTTACTGTTGCACTTTCATTAATTCAGCAAATAACTCTGCATTCGCACCAATGTAAGGAAAAAGCAAAAGCATACACGTAATTTTGAGTCCAAGCCCAGAGTTTAGCTTGAGAAATACAGTTACACCAACAGAATACAAGACCACTTACTGAGAAGAATTTCTATTGAGTCTTCGGTGGTCGCCATTTTGGACGTGTCATATGAGTCTCGCGTGATTTGACGATAACAGTGAAATAACATGTTGACAGATTTACGTAAACGCTTGACAGGCTCTGTACGAAAAGTCTGTTCAAAGACGCCACCACATCCCTCTTTACGGATTGTCACTTCTTGGTCTTTCATGTCATCTCATCTTGATCGACGTTTACCTTGCGGTGTCAAGCCGTCTTGGTCTTTCCTTCGCTTGAAATCATCATAATCGTTGTTGAGCCACCAGTTGCTGTGTCTGATCAGCTCCCTCGACCTTTGACGGTCAGTTGCAATGGACTTCATGGTTGCATGCCTAAGCCCTGTCCAGTCAGTCAAGTTCTGTATCCAGGTATTTCTTGATCTGCCTCTTCTCCTCCTCTTCATCTCTACTGATTGATTTGATTTGATTTGATTCAAGAACCGACATCACAGCACTCGGGGCATTTCCATAAGCGCTGCGTCCCCATCTTCAGCAGCCAGCGAAGAGTTCCGATACTAATGGTGCCAGTAGCATTCTGATTAAACGTCCGTCTTGCCTTTCCTCTGAGCCTCGAGCATCTGCCAGAACGTCTCGTCACTCTACCCTGCATCAATTTCACCAGACTGTAGTGATCCATCTGCTTCTCTGAATTGTACACGCTCTCCCACAAGGCACTAACCACGTCTGCCTTATCATTTATCAGTATTCCACCGAATTGTGTAGAGCCAGCCAGTCTGTCCGCCTGTTCATTTCCTAACACATCGGCGTGCCCCGGTGAAAAAAATCCAGACAATATTCCTCACCCGTGTCGTCCGAGGCGAAGCATGCCACTCTGCACGAAGCATACCTGTTCTGATCTTCCTCAGCAGGCTTTCTGAGTCAGTTACAATCACGATGTGTGTGTGTGTGTGTCGTGTTCTCTAGCCAGCGGAAAGCTGCAATGACCGCATCCACCTCCATTCTTAAGCTGGATGTTGTGGAATCATATGCTAGGCTCTCCTGCACCAAACGTAGACCAATAACTTTTGCTAAAAAGCCCTAAGCACTTCTTTTGCCTCTTGACACTGAACCGTCTGTGTAAATGATCAAATCCTCTGAGCGAGCATTATCTTAAATTAATTGCTGAATTTCCACCTCCGTGGCACCTGCTGGCAAATCTCTGCATTCCCGGCTCAGCGTGATTATGACTCTACACAAGTCTGACTGTTCAGATGGCACTTTGACCCACTGCTCTCCTCGCCTAATGTTCTCAAGGATGCAAACCTGTCTGATTGTGTCTTTTGCCTGACCTATCCGTGACCTCACTCTTATCAGACGCTGACCCTTAACTGGACCCAGAGCTTCATGCAAAGGATAGTCTGTATCTGCAGCTACCCTGGGATATGACTTCGCCTGCAGCACCTTGTGCCTACCTGCAACCGTCGGCAAACCAAGGATGTATCGCATACACACCACTGGGGTGTCTCTGGTGCAACCCAGAATGACCCGCATAGCCGCGTACTGTATGCGCTCTAGTTTGTCCATTTGACTCTTTGAGACGGTAAGCAGTCCCAGGCCATAATCAACCACTGACAGGATCAGGTGATGATATAGTGTGAAAAGCATTCTCTGCTCTATGTCAGTTGCAGCCATAGTCTTAAGTGCACTACGTCCTTTTTGGCATCTCGTCACAACACTCTCCACATCTTAAATGACAGGCTCCTGTCAAATGTAATTCTGAGATACATCAGTTTGCCCTCTCTGTTGACGTTTCTACCATCTATCGTGAGACTTGGGACATTAGCTTTAACGGTTCAGTTGTCCAGAGAACACCACAAAACAGACGCTTTTTTCCTGGTGGACGACAGCCCTCATTACTGTACACCACTCAGTGATTTTGTCTACTATCGCTTGTAGCTTCCGGGCTGTTTGTTCCCTCTCTTCCCCCTGCCTATGTGCAAGTATTTCATCCGCAAAAGTCAGTATCCTTCCAACTCCTGGTGCTTCTAGACTTGCAATCTTGCTCGTATACACGTTAAAGAGCACATGCGAGATGGCGGATCCCTGTGGCAGTCCTGTGGCCAAAGTGAATGGTTTTGAGGTCCATGAGCCCAGTCGAAAAGTAACCCGACGTGAATACAGAACAGCTGCAACCCAATTCACCAGCCATGGACTGACCTCCTTCTCCTTCAGTGCAGTCATTAAGATGTCGTATCTCACTCTGTTATAAGCATCCTCGAGATCCAGTCCTACCGCCATAGTTTCCTATCTGTTCTGGAACCCTTCATAGGGTAAGTCGGGGCAAAGACCCGCAGTTTCATGTTTTTTACACATTTCTGGAAAACCGTTCGCATGTATTCTATGAAACTTCATATGGATATAGTTTAGCCACTTACCCGCCATGTTTGTGGCTACTAAGTGTGTTCTTATTAATAATCAAAATAAATGCATTTTCCTGCCATCTTTACGTTGCGGGTCTTTGCCCCAGCAATGGGGCAAAGACCCGCAGCCGCGGGTCTTTGCCCCATTGGTAAAATAATGACATAAGACTGGAAAAAATCTTTGTAAAATCATTCTTTATTCAAGAAATTGAAAAATCAGTGAGGTCATTTGAAAAACTGATCATATTTTTAAATCGAGTTGAACTGTTGAAAATTGGCTTAGAGAGTTTCAAAATAATGTCTCCCTTTTCAAAATAGGACTCTTCACTTGTTTCTGTAAACCTTTGAGTTAGAGGAGCTCGCTTGTAGAAGATACCATCGTATCCCTCATCATCACAATCAGTAACTTTAACCACATACAACCTAAAAGAGTATTTGGCTTTCCCATGCACCTTGACAAGAGCAAAGTCACCAGGTTGCAGTTCTAAAACACAATCCAGCTCCTCTTCTCCTGAAGACAAGATAGTAAAGTCAGAGCTGCTGTTCTGGACGGAGAAATCTGAATCATAGTCTGATGAAGTGTTATCCGGGGACAACTTTCTATTCATTGCCGTTGCCTTTGTATCTAGAAGCAATGCCCTTTTAATTTTTTTCTTTTCTGCGCTGTCTTTTTCCTCTTGCAGTATTTCCATGCGTTTCAAATTTGGACTTGACGTTAACAGGGTCGTTTTCAAACCTTTTCCTGAACGTTTCTTGTTTATTTTTATTTTTGGCAGAGGACAAATGTCACTTGGAGACGTTCCAGTGTTGCTATGAGAAGGTCATGAGATATCATGGGGAGGAGCTATGTCCTCTATGTCGGCTTCTTCTAGAGTATCGTCGGCAAGAATAGGGCTTTGGCCCACAATGATATCCGGAACTTCGACAGGATCAGTAGCAGCTTCTGTAGACTGCAGAGCAATAAAAATTTTCTTATCTTCATCCATATCCTCTTCTTCCTTATACTGGTCAGTGACCTCGGCAGGCAAGAAATCGTCATCAGTGAATTTGTTCTGGTCCAGAGGAAAAATGCCAGTGGTTAGAAATCCTTGAACTGCATTTTCTACCGTTGCAGCTTTCTGGAAAGCCTTCGCTAATAGTTCAGCAACGTGATATTCGCTCAGGACTTGGCCTGGATGCGAAGTTGTCCAGTTATCAGCAGCATTGTCATAATATGCTTTCAATGGTCTGAAAAAATTACGGTCGAGGGGTTGCGTCTTATGAGTACTGTGTGGTGGTAAGCTTAGCATATGGATGTGGTTTGATTTGGCGTAGCTTATAGCCTCCAAGCTGGTATGCGAGGTATGATTGTCAAGGATCAACAGAAGTGGCCTATCTTGAGAGGGATTCGCCAACTTTTTAAAGTGTTGTAGCCACTTTAAGAATGTAGGAATGTTCATATAGCCTTTGTCAGTGACACTCATGTCACACCCAGTTGGTCCATCCTTTATAAGAAGCAAGTTTAGTCTCTTTCTTGCAAAAATGAAGTAAGGATTCACATAGTGTCCTGTGGCACTCATGGCACAGACTACAGTCACTGTTTTACCTTGCTCAGCAGCGACAGATTTAGCAACCTCTTTTTTTCCAGTTGGCGCTACGTGCTTAGGTATCTTGCCTGGAACAGTCTGAATCCCTGTTTCATCCATATTGTAGATACAGTCGGATGTAAACTTGTACCGGCGCAGAACACTCGTAAGGTTGTCAAAGTACTGGTCCAGTTGGAGTCGATTAAAGCCCATCGTCCTTGCAATGCTCGTCTTTCGTCGTGTCCGCAATGATAGTCTGTTTCTTTTCATAAAGGAATGTGTGAAATCCTTTCCAGCCGACTTTGTTGCAGTGGAAAATGGATGAGGTATGTTATTTTTCTCTGCATAAGAATACAACAGAAACCGGAGAGACTTGAGGGTTAATCCAAAAAATCGCCGATCTAAGGCTTTACAATGTTCTACTAACTGTTTTTCATGTTCATTGGAAAAGACAGTCTGGAATCTCCCCAGCTTTTCTGCTCCAACACCAGTCTTCAATCTGTTCCGTAGCGTTGACTCATGGAAGCCGATCACTTTGGCCGCTTGTCTAATAGAAACACCCGTCTCTATTAGAGCCTTGGCTTCGTTCAGTAAGGATTCAGTGAGTGGTTTCTGGCTCGTCTTCCTTTTGTAATTCTTGGAAATAAATAACAGAATCATATTGTAAACAACTGAGGATGATAAGGGGAAAACTCACATTCGTGGGCAATGACGCGCATTCATGGGGTAAAGACACGCATTCATGGGGTAAAGACACGTCAAAAGCAAAAGTGGCCGCATTTGCCCAAGTGTCCTTTCCTGGCCTGTAGCTTCCCAGACCTCTTGGGAGAAGCTTCACCCCTTTCCAAAAATTCTTGCAGCTTTACAGCAACTATCTTCTCCAAAACCTTCCCAAATGTGTTTTGTAAGGTGATGATTCTAAAGCCACTGAGCTTAGAATGATTTTAAAAAGGTTTTGGTAGTGGGATTAGATAGCTGTGCACCCAGTCCTGTGGTACTGATGCTGTCGTAATGCTCTGGTTAAAACAGTCGGCCATCTCTGCCAGGTCTACATAGCTCAAAGCCTTCATGTGACCATATCTGATTACATCA